AGTGGGAAAGGCTATAAGAATGCCGGGAGCCCAGGCCCCCAGGTCACCGCCCCAGGTCCCTCGCCAGGAGCTTACAGTCTGTACTCCCCAGTATGCGTGATGAAGGTGGGCTCCACAGGGCCCTGCTCCCCACCAGCTCAGGTTGCTGATCTGTAGGGAGCAGCTGGGGCCCACCACACTCACATGACCTCAGTACTGGGTTTCTACCTGGTAACAGGTGTCTGGCCCTTCAGCTTGTACCAAGGTTACTGTGGCTATTGTCATGGGGACTGAACAGGGCATCAGAAGATGCTCTCCACCCGCTTGCCAGCCTGTAGCTGCAGGGACAGAGTGACAGAGCCCCTAGGGTCCCAGCTACCACCACAGGGTCTGGGTCCCCTCTGGAAGCCTCCAGCCCTGCAGACAGAACAGAAGCTGCAGGGGCAGCCTGACCAGGCCAGAGGCTCACAGCCGTGCCAGTCAGGTATGTGCTTGCTATTCCCATTTTATAAATGAGAAAATAGAGACCCAAAGAACTTAAGTGACTTGCTCAAGACTATGTAACTAGTTAGCGGTAGAACTAGAGCCCAGATCGGTGCCCTTCCCTGCACACTACAGTGGGTTCCTTGAGCGTCTACTTAATTAAGTAACACATAATGAAGTAATGAATGACGGCTGTCCTAAGGGTTATAAATGCCAAGTGGAATAGAGAGGAAGGAGAATTCTTGGGAAGCATCTGTGGGGGGACCTCTGCTGTTACTCTGAGTCACCCTCCTGCCAATCTGGGCAATAGGACTGGAACTCACTTAGCTCAACCCCATCCACAGCAGAAACTCCCTCGTAGTATCACCCTAATTTCTTGTTCAGCCACTTCTGAAACAGAGGCCAGCTCCTCAGAGGCCAGCAGGGATGCTGGGAACATACCGTTCTAGAGCAGGTGGGCTAGCACTGTGCTGGCCACTCTGTGTCTATGGGTGGTCGGTGGGACCACGGTTGGGATGCCAGCCTATAATGCATTTGACTGGAGAGCGAGCGCAAACACCAGAGCACTAGTCAGGCTGCCTGAGTTCAAACCCTTCCTCTACCAGGTACTAGCTGTGCAATCTTGGGCAGGTTACTTAACCTCTCTGAGTCCTGGTTTTCTCACCTGAGAAACAGGAAGGGCCATTTTCTGGAATTTCATGAGGGTTAAATGAGCTAATGCAAGCAAATACCTCACTAGAAGTATTGTCAAAGCTACTTCAAGTCGCTGCAATAAGTTAGTGACTGAGACTCATCTGCATCCTCCCGAAACCAGGCAGGCCTTGTGTAGACAAGTGCATAAATGCACTCCTTGCAGCAGGACCCACCTTGGGGAGGGTACTTCTGCAGCACCCACCCTCACTCCCCGGAGGTAGAGGATTCGAAACTGACCCAGGTGAGCTGCACAGTTGTTTAGAAAGGACAGGCTGCATGCTCAGGGAGGGATCTGGGTCTTGATTCAAACTGGGACCCAGAAGTACTGGCTACATCGCTGTTTCCTAGGCCAGGTGGTGAGGCTCTTTGCCAAAAGAACCAAGAAATCCTGTGACAATAGCTTCAGTGACGGGGGTGGGAGAGCTGTTGCTGTCTGTGGGAGTGCGCCTGCCAAACCGGGGGTGGCGCCTCTTCCTGGGCCCACCACGGAATCCACACAATGGCCAACTTCATTTCCCGGAGCCGTTTCTGATTGCGCCTGGGGAATCATGCAAGCTGGCGGGAAGCACACCGTGTCGGGGGCTGCTGGGACCAGCCGCACCTCCCCGAGCCACGCGGGGCTGGGGCCTGATGTCTATCCTGGAGGAGCTCCTCCTTGACCCAGCAGCCTGGCTGGCCCCTGCACCCTCAAGGGCACTAACTCAGCAGGTCTGCTTCCAGCGCCCCTTCCTTCCTGGGCCTCGGCGGCCCTCCGCGCTCCTGGTCCGGCCAGGCCAGCCCCCTGGCTTCCTTCAGCCTGGACTTCTGTTGGCCCCTCTTGGTTTAAGCATTTACTTCATTCTGCCTCACAAATAACTGCGCTGTGTGTCTCCCCCCGTGGCTCATGAGCACCCCAGGAGAGAAGATGGAAGGAAATTAAGCTCGGAGTAGTGAGTGAAGGAGGGCCAACGGCCTAGCTCTGTGGCTAGGTGCAGTGCAGGGGGCAGAGCCTATCGGTCCAGATCCTGTATCTGGATTCAAGGTTGGTGAAAGAGACACAGAAAGATCAGATCAGGGCATGAACCCCGAATGCCAGACACCGCGCCGAGTACATTAAACACACTGACTGTTTCATTTAACCTTCCCAACAGACTTGTAAGATAGGCGTTCTTATCCCGCTTTACAGATGAAGACCATGAGACTCAAAGAGCTTAAGAAACTTACCCAAAGTCACTAGCTGGGAAGCAGAGTCCAGATGGAAACCCAGGTTCGTCTGCCCCCAAAGCTGATGCTCTGCTGGTTGCATTGTGCTGCCCAGAGGACCTCACCACACTTAATTCCTCCCCGTAGCCCACCTCACACACAGCACAGGACCTGCACGCAGAGGGCTCAATAGATCTTTGTAGAATAGGACCAAAGAACTGTGAACACTTTTTAAGGCAAGAGCTGTCTTACTCATTCTTTTGCCATATACCTGAAATGCCCCTGTGGACAGGGGCCAACAAGAGCCTGGTTCGGACACCATGGAGAAGAAAAGCTCACAGATGTGCTTGCCCTGTGGCGGGTAGGAAAGTGGGGAGTGGAGCCTCATGGGAATCCAGCCTCTCAGTGTCAATTCTGTGACTTTGGTTGGGGACATTGTAGTTCTCTGAAATATTCCTTATGGCTGCTGCATTCCCACGGCTGGGCTACACTGACCTATTTTCAAAAACCACGTGAGCCATGTGCCAGAAGATGCCATCTAATCTCTCTGAGCCTCAGTCCATCATTTGTATAAAATGGACATAATACTATCAGGCTTGTTTATATGTCACAAGATTGTAGTGGGGATCAGATTTCTTCAAGTAAAAGTTCTTTATAAAGTGCCAGGTTTTATGCACATTAACGGATTCATCAGCAGGCCTGCAGGAGGCCTTAAAAATTGAGGGAGGACAGCAATGAAGGCAGGTGACCCTGAGAACCATTGCAAGCTGCGTTTCCCCTGAAAGAGAATGAAAGTAAAAGCTGTAAACTGGCGACTAAAAGCAGAACCTGGTCTCTCAGCGTGGATTTCTCAAGCGCTGTGGTCCCTGGCCTCTGGTCCCCAAGCCTACTCGGACCACCAGGGGGAGGAGGGTGAGCAGGAAGAATCCAGAGGAGCCCAACGTGCAGGGGGAGGTGCCTGGGAGGGAGTGGAGGGGCTAGAATTTCCCATGACAAGACCCAGAGCAACGACCGCTGTGGAGAAAAGCCCATAACACTCAGCAGCCCACTGGCCTGCTTCCCGGCAGCCGGCAGACTGTGCTGTGCATGTGTAAACATCAGCCTGCAGTCACTTCCCGTGTTGAGAGTTCACCAGTTTTAGCACATGTAGCTTTTGAGTCACAGATGTGAAGATGAGGGGACATAAAAGAAAGAAGGTGAAAGGCACCAGAGTGAGCTATTTAAAAGCCAAAGCTGACATGTCACAACCTAGCTTGAAACCCTCCCGAGGTCCCCAGTCCTCTCCAAGGTAAAGTCCAGGGTCATGGTCCTGATGGACAAGGCCCTTAGTGATCTGCTTGCTTCCTGCCAGCCTCTGGCCTCGTGTTCTGTCACCAAGTCTCACATCTTGGGCTCCAATCAGCACAGACTGTTTCTCGAGTCTCCCCACACACCCCTTGTGATTTCTCACTGTTGTAAATTGCCTTTTGCAGTTCATCTTTCTGAACTGCCTCCGTCCCTGCCACCTGCCTCACCCACCCTTCCCTAACATCCCCTCCATCCCAGCCGAAGGCATCATCGCCCTGGGAAAGGCTTCCCGGAAGCCCCAGGCTAGATAGGAGCCCTCTGCTGGGCCTCTCGGGGGCCCTGTGCTTCCCTCTACTATAACACTACCCCATTGCCTCATAAATATCTGCTTGCTTGCACACTGTCCAGGGGGGCAGACTCTTGGCCCCTTGGGGGCAGGATCTTCCTTTTTCATCTTTCCAATTCCCAGGGATTAGTCAGCATCAGCACACAGTAGGGCCTAGTTCCTGCATGCTCGGTGACTACATGGGCTGACACTGAGTCAGCAGGCAAAGAAAAGCAAGCCCAAGATCCGGATCACAGCCCAGCTGGGGTTTGATGCTGCCTGGGGGCAATGCCCAGTAGGTGGCGATTCTGGGGCCTGGTACCAGCTGGACTCCCAGGACAGCAGGAATTTTCTAGCCATTTGCACTCATCTGCTGGCCTGGTCCAAAGACACTGAGGAACCACAGATGCCAGGGAACCAACCTTCCCCTCCTTGCTTCCCAGCACTAGATGCCTTGGCATCCATGCCCAGTGAGACAATTAGCCCTCCCTGGGTGAGGACAAGGGCTGGGCAAAGACACGACCCTTTTGCCAATTGTATTATATCAAAATTCACATTATTTAAGGTTTTTACTGTATTAGTATACTGTACTTAAATGATACTTCATTTGGATTCTGCGTATCAGAAGACCGTATCCATTTGTGTTTGAAACTTTGAAGGTCATTCTGTGGCATTACCCTTGCTAAGCCTCAGTTTTGCCATCTCTGAAATGGAGATAATAGGAGTATCAACCAAAAAGGGTTGATCTGAAGATTAAAAGAGTAAACATATGTAAAATTCTGAGCACAGAGCCTCACTCGTAATAATTAGTAATGTTAGTGACTATTTTTATTATTGTCGATATCGTTGCATCCTCCCACATCTTTGTCCTCTCCTCCCACCCTGTTCTCATGCTCTTACCTGGGCTCCTTAAGAGCCCCCTTACTGTCTTCTGGGGTCCTAGTCTCATCCTTTCCACCCCTCTCCATTCTGCTACCAGAGTAAGCTTTCCAAAAGTTTACCTCTGCTTAAAAACATGGATAAGGCCACACCGCTGCTTAAAAACACCTGCTGGATCCTCATGGCCTTTAGTCCAAAGCCTTAGTCTGTTAAGGCTGCTATGAAAAAAATACCACAGACTGGGTAGCTTATCGATGACAGAAATTTATTTGTGACAGTTCTGAAGGTTGGGAAGTGGGAGTCAAAGCGCTGGGAGGTTCGGTGTCCAGCAAGAGCCCACTTCCTGTTTCAGAGACAGCCACCTTCGCACGTGGCAGAGGGGCTGAGAGAGCTCTCTGGGTTTCTTTTATAAAAGCACTAACCCCTTTTCTGAGGGCCCCACCCTCATGACCGAACCTCCTCTCCAAGGCCTCACCTGCTAACACCAGGAAGCCCTGAACAGACCTGGGGCCTCTACCCTAGCCTGAGCACATGGGAGGAGGCTGGTACCAGGTATGAAAACTCCAGGACAAGTATGTGCACTGTCACACCACGAGTACATGTGCACGGAAACTGCGGTGACTGCTTCCTCTTTCAGCCTGAGAGCTGCAAACACATCCTCATGGCGGGCCCAGAGGGACATGGAGGTGACGGGACCCTGCGGCTTTTCTGCAATAAGCCACCAGAGTGTCAGCCACATGTATTCTCTCTCTTTCCATGGACGCATCTCCTCTTCCTGCTCATGGGTAAGTGCACACTGCGGTCGCCAGCTGCTCGCTCCTGGTGTGCCCCTGAGGCTGGTCACATTCCCTGCAGGTAAAATCAGGAAGCTCCACCCCTTGTGGTAATCCTTCTGCAGGTTCCACTGTTTGGAGCTCTGGGGGGCGGTGTGAGTGTGCGCCTAGTCACACACCCTGAGGAGGTGACATTCCAGACTGGTTTCAAATAACTCTGGGCTCAGACTATGTCCCTCTCACTCTCGCCTTTTCCTGCTAAGAAATGCCAAGTGATGGGCTGGTTCCCTGTGCAACGTGACTAAAACCCAGAGAAATACAGGGAAATTTCCCTAATGACAAGCCACCCCACAACTTCCCTGCAAGGGGGAGAACTGCTGGGCCTGTCCTCTGTGTCCTGCCTTGGCTGTACGTACCTGGGCTTAGGGCTTCACCAGGGATTGGACACAGTCTGGTGGCCCCGGGCTAGGTGACCTCTGTCTGCATATTCTTTTCTCCCCACGTCCACTTCCCCATAAAGGCCCAAGCCCCGCTAGTTTCTCAGAAACATCTCTGAGCAGCTTGACTTGGGTTCCCTCCGTCCAGCGGGCACAGCGGAGCCCGTACCCCTGGGAGGATCTCACCCACCTGGAACTGGGGGGGCTACTGTGCCCCTGGGATCCTGCTTTCCCCAAGCCTGAGGAGCGACGGGTGCAGGGAGCTCCAGGGACCTGAGAACAGTGGGGGGTGGGGGGACCGGGGGCGGGCAGTGAGGGCAGTTCTAGTAAAACTCCTAGTGTGGGGGCGGGGGTAGGAGAAGCTTAGAGCTACAGGCTCAGCTCGAACCTGGCTTCTCTCCCTTTTCAATGGCATCTTCGCTCACCATGAAAGCATAGGAAGCCCCAGAGCTGTTTGTAGCCACACGCAACTCTTGGGGTGTTTCTTGGTTGTGTTCGATAAACCTGAAATTAACACATGCAATGTCATCGGAGCCTCAAATGATCAACACAGAGAGTTTCAAGGCAAAGCAGATCTCCCTGTGGCTCCACCAGTTGGAATAATATCAAACCTCACTGTTTCGGTTGAGCAGGGAGTTTCATTGGTGCTTTTGTGTCTCCAAGGAGTTGTTTCAGGAAGTAAAAGATAGTAGGGTGAAAAGTTCCCCTGTTTTAGGTTCAGGAACATTTTAAATTAAATTCGTGCTCCATTATTTGCTAGCTCTGTGAGTCTCTATTTCTTAAGCATAGAATGCAATTAGTAAGATATGTCATGCAAGATTCTCCCATAGATGAGAAATGATATATATCAAGTGCCTGGCACATAGTGGAAGCCGATTGATGATAACCACTGTGAAGTGCATTATTCTAAAGCTATTAAAGGTTCGGCAAGTCAGATTCAGTCATAACCATCTTTGAACCCCTTTTTATTATTTGTCATACAGTGTGGTTCAGAATAAGGTGGCTGATAGCTGGGACTCCTGTCACTAGACTGGGAACACTGCAGCCCCGTTTGCTACGACAGGATTTGACCTACAGGAGTCACACCCTGCTCCCCAGGGGCAGACTGTGAGGCTTTTCTGGTCTTTAAACGAGGAGAGATGAGGTCAAAACACCATCACAGGCACCCAGCCAAGACCTAGCACCTTCCGGGCGTCCGGGATGGGGGTGGTCGGCACCCTCGACCTCCATACTGGGGGGCATCGTGTACAAGGAATCCAGGCTGTGCAACCAACCCTGTATTCTCAGGCTTACACTCTCTAAATTTCAGCTCCTCATCTATAAAATGGACTAGTTATCAGAGAATCTTGGACATTGAATGAGGTGATTTCTGCAGCGTGTCTAGCACCCACCCAGCAGTCATAAGTGGCAGCTTCCAGTTGGGAAGAGCTGTCTTTAGGCAACTTCAAACAAACATCACATGACTCAGCTTCTGTCTTCTGAGCCTGTCCCCAGAGCCCACCTGAACTGACCTTCTCACCACCAGGGTCCCGAGCCACATGTCCTCCCTCCCCACAAGGTCCAGGTGCTCAGCTGATGGAGGCCCGGGCAGAGAAGCCCCTAGGCCTGCCCCAGTCAGGATGGCTCCTGTGTCTGCACATTCTGTAACCTCTGGGCCTGCAGAGCATACCTCAGCCTTTGCCCGTCCCTCCAGTCTGTGCTTGGCCTCTCCTCTCTCTCTAACATTTCCTACTAAGTTTTCCACCCTTACTTCCTGGAGTAGCCTGGGTGCTTAGCCCATCTGCTTGGGCCTAAAATTTCCAAAGGATTCTCCAGAGCCTCATAGGAGGCTTGGATCCTGGGAATCAAGGCTGGGGTCCCATCACAGACACCCACAGGGCCCCTCTAAGGAAATGAGCTGCATTGGCCAAATGCTGGGCCTCTGGAAGCCTTGGTAACAATGTTTATCAAGGATCTGGTCCTCCCTGAGATGAGGAAATCGGGAGCTCAGTCAATGCTAACTACCATTCCTAGCCCCAAACCTTGTTCCAAAAACAAGAAAACATTTTCCCGGCCAAGCCAAAATCGGTCTGAGATCCCCTGGATGATGAGGAAAAGGTAGCATGAGGTAGAGGTGAGAGATGCTCCTTTTGTTCTCAAGGTTTTATTATGAAAATTATCAAACACAGAGAACATTTGGAAGAGTTCTGCAGTGAACCCTCAGTATCTCCCATGACTCTACTTGTAGAAGGGAGGTGAGTATAATACTTGCTTTGTCTCACATCTGCTCCTCTTCTACTCCTCTAGCCAGCCATCAACCTATCCTATTTTTTAAAAGAGGCTCTTTTTTCACTTCACTTGTTCATTATGACTTAGAGCAGCCTGTTTTAGTTTAATCACTAACGTATTTCCAGAGGAAGATGGCGTAGGTGTGAACATTTCCATCTTGTAGATCAGTAAACTGATTCTTAGAGAAATTCATAATTTCACCCAAAGTCCCAAAGCTAATTTCCCTGTTGGAACAGAAACCTAAAAGGTCTGTTTGACTGATTATTGTAGCTACATGTGTGGAAGAGAGTGTTCGGTAAATAAATAAGTGAGTGAATGAGTGAATGCGTGAATGAATGGAGTGAGTGAATGATTTTATTAGGTGACAGGTCTAGAGAGAGAAGACCAGGAATCTCATTTCACTTCTCAGCACCTGGCACATGTTTATTGAATGAATGCATGAATAAAGGCTGGCTTGAGGGTTCAGCTGTCTCTCCAAGTCTTTCTTCTATCTCTGCAGGACTAGGAGCCTCTGGGAAGAACTCAGCCCCTACAGTGGTGACAGGGATTGCGGGAGGTTCAATGACTCTCTCCCTGAACATTTCAGTAGAAACAGAGATTGAACATGTCACCTGGACTTGTTCCCAGAAAGCTCTTGCTTTTGCGAAGCCAGAAGGACTTGCTATCCTTATGGACAAAAACTACGAGGGCCGACTGAACTGGAGCTGGAGGTACTTGTCCATCAACAACCTGACCCTGGAAGATGCGGGATCCTACAAAGCCCAGATAAACCGAAATAAATAATTATAAAGTCACCACGTACAAGGAATTCACCCTGAATATCTATGGTTAGTTTCAGAGAACTTCTGTGGATTTTGATCTTTTATTTTTAAAAGCAGATTCTCTCTCTCTCTCTCTCTCTCTCTCGGGAATTTATCTCACTAGGACATATAGGACTGTCACATTGGTTATTTTCATCCAATCCCATAAACACAGATGTCAAGAATAGAAAGCACAGCCAAAATGTGTTTAAGAGTCATTGGTGTTCTTTTCTGCAACTCTGTTAATATCCTTTACCCATCGGTATTAGCTCGCTAGCCCTGCCATAACAAAATCCCGCAGACTGGGTGGCTTAAACAACAGAAATGTATTTTCTCACCATTCTAGAGGGAAAAAGTCCCAGACCAAGGCACCAGCAGGTTTGATCTCTCAGCTTGCAAATGGCTGCCTTCTTGATACAGCCTCACATGATTATCCCTCTGCTTTGCTTGTGTCTTAATCTCCTCTTTTTATAAAGATACCACTCATATTGGATTAAGGCCCATCTAACTTGATTATTTCTTTAAAGGATCTGTTTCCAAATACTGCCACTTTCTGAGTACTGGGGAGTAGGACTTCAATCTATAAATTGGGGGAGACATGATTTAGTCCATAACACTCTGTCCTCTGGACCCCCAAAATTCATGTCGTTTTCACCTGCAAAAAACATTCACTCCATCTCAACAGCCCCCAAAAATTTTAACCCATTCCATCATCAACAGCAAGATAAAAATCTTACCCAAGTATCCTCTGAATCAGATATGGTTGAGACTTGAGGTGTAAGTCATCCTGACGCAAAATTCCTCTCTAGCTGTGAAAGTGTGAAACCAGACAAGTTACCTGCTTCCATAATACAGTAGAGGACAGACATAAGATGGACATTCACACTCTAAAAAGGAGAAATCAGAAAGAAGAAAGGGGGCATGGGTCCCAGGCAGGTCTGAAACGCACCAGGGAAAACTCCATTCGATTTTAAGATTTGACAATAATCCTCTTTGACCCTCTGAGCCCACTAGGTTGGCAGCACTATCCCCTTGGCCCTGGGCAATCACCCTTCCCCATGGAACCAAGGCAAAACCACTCTACCAGCTGCTCCTGCACCTGTGCCCTCTAAGCAGCAGCAGCCCTCTTGACTTCTGAACTGCCCTGGGGTTCATTCTTCCCCTTTCTTGAAGGATAAAGCCTGGTCCCAGTCAGACAGTGCTATTGGCCCATCCTACAGAATCCCAGAAGTCAGATGGCCTTGCTTCACTGCGTCCCATCTTTGTCCCTCCGGTCCATGCTGGTAACATTTCTGCTGAGAGGGTTGCTTGGATCCATGGGTCGCACTGTAATCTCCTTAGCAAACATTGTTTAGCCATATTCTTAGTATGCTCTCCAGACACGCTTTCTTATCGTTTACAATATGGATAGACTGAGAATTTCCCAAATCTTCTTGTCCTCGTTCCTTCCTGCTTAACAATTCCTTCTTCAATGACATTGAATAGCATCTCTCTTCTCTAAGAGAGGATTTTACTACATGTAGGAAGGAAAAACCCCACACTGCCCTCAACATTTTGCTCAGCAATCTCCTTAGTTAAACACCCAAATTCACCACTTACATGTTCTACTTGCTGCACAACACTAGAATATAAGTGGTCTTTGTCTTTTGCTACTTTATAACAAGTATCACCTTTATCCAACTTCCAATAACATGTTCTTCATCTCCATCCATTATCTCACCAGTAACACCTTTAACGTCCATATTTTTACAGCACTTCATTCATGATAATATATGTATACTCTAGGTTAACAGACGCCTTCTCTACGGCTCTCCTCTTTTCTTTCTGAGCCCATACCAGAATCCCCTTCATCACCCATAGTCCTATGAGCAGTGTCTTGAGGACAACCCAGGCTCTTTCTAACACACACATCAAAACTCTCCCAGCCTCTATCCATTAACCAGTTCCAAAGCCACGTCCACCTTTTCAGGTATTTGTTTCAGTAGCATCCCACTTCTGGTACCAAAATCTGTAGATTTCCTAGGGCTGCCATAATAAAAAGCCACAGGCTGAGTAACTTAAGCAACAGATTCATTTTCTCCCGACTCTGGAGGCTGGTCAAGGTGTCAGCAGGCTTGGTTTCTTCTAAGCCCTCTATCCCTGGCTTGCAGACAGCTGCCTCCTCCCTCCATGTCTTCACATGGCTGTAGCTCTGTCCATGCATCCCTGTCCTCATGTCCTTTTCTTGCAGGGACTCCAGTCATATTGGATTAGGGCCCCATCTCAACTGAATCACTTCCATCTCCAAATATGGTCCTATATCCAAATGCAATCACCTTCTGAGACCCGGGGGGTTAGGACATCAACATATGAGCTTGTTGGGGGTCACAATTCAACCTATGACACTGTCTTTCTATTAGGTAGTTTGTCCTTTTTGTATTAATTTGTAGGAGGCTCTGTATATATTAAAGAAATGGAATTCTAAGTAGCTAGTAGAAATAGAATGAATCAGTTCAAAATGTACTGTTTTATTTATACAATTTATATAATTTCCAAGATGTATTGTTACATTTTTAAGTTTCAGGACAGTATGTATAATATCATATATGTATCTATACCTAGAATGTATCTACAAAGATCAAATTCTTAACAGTAGTTTCCTCCAATAAATCCTGGGAAGAGGAAATAGGTGACTGGGGCTAGAAAACTTGTTTTTTCTCATTATGTGCCCTTTTGTATCTTTTCGGTTTCATGTATTACCTATTCAAAAAAATAACCACTTACACACACACACACACACACACACACACACTGAGAATAGGGAAGATGGGACAAAAGGGAAAGATAGGCCCAGGAAGAAGGTCTGGAAGCACAATTGGTCTTAAAATCAAATCAAAACTCAATGGCAACTCGAATTCTAAAGGCAGAGCTCCCCACTCCCCAGTGTTTGGGGCTGTCCTATTCATCTATTTAATTCATCAAAATTCATGGCTGGCTTTCATGGTCCATAGATGTTCGGACACAGGCATCAGCCCTGTCCCCGCGGAGTTCATCTACTCATGGGGGAGAGTGAGAAGCAATCAGACTGTTTTGTCCTGTTGAGCCATGGTGGTAACACCCAGAGAGGGTATTATGGAAGAATAGAGGAGAGGCCCTGCAGGGGGAAGCTAGGAGAAAACACCCCAGAACAGCTATGCTGGCCCCTCCCTTCTGCCCCCAGCCCCTCTACCACTCACTGTCTTCTCTCAGCCCTCTCCTGCTGGGAAAGGCATATGAGTAGTGTCCTCATTGCTACTGTCCCTACAGAGCAGCTGCAGAAGCCCTGAGTCACCATGAAGTCTGTGAACATGTCTGAGAACGGCACCTGTAACATTACCTTGATATGCTCTGTGGATGGGATGGGGAAAGGTGTTCTGTACATCTGGACCGTGGGGACACCCATGCATCTGAGTCCTTTGGGGGCTCCACCCTCACCGTCTCCTGGATGCCCTGTGATCCAGACCTGCTGTACACCTGCACAGCCAGGAACCCGGTCAGCCAGAGCAGCTCCCATCCTGTCCATGTCCAGCAGTTCTGTACAGGTAAATGGTCCACTAAGGCCCCCCAGGGGATTGAGAAACAGTCTGAGCAGCTATGGAGTCTAAAACCCAGGGTCCTGGCAGGACATAGATGGAGGGGGGAAACAAAAAGACAAGCCTGAAGACCCCCTGTTCTCAACCCTCAGGGGCCTGAAAGAGCCCAGCAGGGAACTTGGGAAATCCCAGGAACTCAGGGGTGGAGTAAGGGAAGGGAAGAGAATACTGATAAAGAGACCCAGATTGTTCTTTGCTGAGATGGAGTTATCCCCTGGAGTCTCCTCAGAAAGGCAGAGAAGGCAGGAGAGGTCTGGGCAGGCAGTAGGCAGAGCCAGATGCATACCTGTCCACGACAAGTTGGCCTTGGGAAAGCACCTGGTCAAGAGGGCCTGTGGGGATCCCGTCCCCTTCCGTCCAGGGAGTAGGTCCAGTGACTGAAGCTGCAATGTCTCATCTCTGACTGCAGATCCAGGAGCCTCCAGAGGAAGACCAATGGGGGAAACGGTGGTGGGGATACTGGGGGAGGCAGTGACACTGCCCCTGGAACATCCAGCCAGTCATCCCATAGAGAAAGTTGTCTGGATCTTTAACACGTCTATTATCAGCAACAAGCAGGAAGGGGCAGCAACGGCTGATCCACTCATTAAGTCCAAGGATCCTGACAGGAACACGGTGTGGGTCTCCGACCAGGACTACTCCCTGGAAACTGGCCAGACGAAGGTGGAGGACGCCGGCCCCTACCACGCCTATGCGTGCTCAAACGCCTCCGGAGTCATCAGCACAAAACATGTCACCCTGCTCATCTGCCGTGAGTTTCTGAGCAGCGTGCTGATCAGTAGATTCCTTCCCTGAAAGGTTTCCCCCTTTTGCTGCCTTCTCCCCTTCCGTCCTCCCTCAGGCCTCTCCTCCTACCTAAACACCTCAGACCACTAGGACAGCTGTTCAGTTCACACTAATCAATTCACAGGAGTTAAAAATCACAGCCATTGGCTGGGCAAAATCTACTTGCTGACGTCTCCCTTCCTCTAGGCTTCCGGTTAGGCCCCAACCACCCAGCTTTCAGTACTGCCCCTGTCCTCCTGCATTATCAGGTGGGACCAGGAACTTTCCAGCCTGCATTTTTTATAGACTATTGTCATTTTGGACAAGAGAAGATCTGGCTGGGGAATCAAATAAGATCAAGGAGAAAGCCTTTAGTGTCCAAAGACCATGTGATTTCCAAGAGGAGGGCTGCTTGGCTCCTCCAAGTGTGAACGACAAGACTCACAGTCCTTAGCCTTGGGCCTCATAGTGGTTTGGCTTGACAGTTTGCGTATTTTACATTTACTGCTCCTTCACCTGCACCAGTCAATCAGGGTCATCATATCCCCTGCCTGGATGTGTTAGTGTCTAAGCACCCGTGGAAAGAGTCACTGTCCATGGTGCTGTTAAAATATGCAGTAAGTCAGCTAGTCCACATTGACTGCATACTGTGACTCAAATATAAAAGAACCAGCAAGAACTGTATGTTAAAATAATAATAAACTGGGAACAGTTTGTATCAGTCTTATATATTTAAAACTGCTAACATTTATTAAGCACTTATTCCGTGACTGCTGGGCTTGCCTCTCTACATTCCTTACCTCTTGTGAATAAACAAATTAGGTGATGGCCTCTCCAAATGTAAGCCTTGAAGGGCCTTCAGAACACAGGGAGGCATTATTTGTGTTGATCAATTCCTTGTTCTCCACGTCAAAAATCAAAGGCCCAAATGTAACCTCCTAGAGCAATGCCGGCTCAGTAAGTTCAGTAATTGTAGAATGAGTGAATGAAAATGAATGTTTTCTACAATAGCATGGGATTTTAACTGGATGGAACTGTACAGAATGATATGGTCATCTTTCTGTTTTCACTTTTTAATATCGCCTTTGTTTCACACCTGAGCATCAGAGGCCCAAAGGGGTGAAGTGATATGTCTGAGATTTCACAGCTACCAAGGGTGCATTCCAAACTTCCTGGAACTCCTGCAGGACCTGTCCCAGCCCTATTTCCCAGTGTCAATACCCAACTTCATGACTACATTTTGAATGAGTGAGGCTGTGGCGAGCGCCCAGTGGGCAGGCATGACTTGATATCAGGTCTGCCCTTCTCTCACAGGGAAGCTGCAAGAGCCGAAAGTCACCTGGAGCTACACCCTCGCTGAGGACGGCAGCTGCAGGGTCACCCTCGTGTGCTCAGTGGACGACCCTGGGCACAATGTGACCTACAGGTGGACTTTCCTGCAAAATGGAGCTGTCACATCTCAAGAGGGATCTCACCTCACTGTCTCCTGGAGAAGGGATGAAAATCAAACCAACTTCACATGCACTGCCAGCAACCCTGTCAGCAACAGCACCTGGCAGTTTCCATCTGGGGACATTTGTCCAGGTTGCTCTCCATCTCTGCTCCACTAGACCTCAGGGCCTTGGACTGTTGGTTCCAAGAATTTGCATTCTGAGTGGTTCTTTATGAAGTACAGTGAGGGAGGGTGGGCAAGAGCCCTTTAGAGCAGAACATTCCAATAGAAATATGGTAGCAGTTACATATGTAATTTAAATGTTCTAATAGCCATGTTAGAAAATGAAAAAAGAAACAAGGAAAATTAATTTTAATGATATAGCTTATTTAACCCACTATATCCAAAATATAATCATGCAACACCACAGTTATTCACAGGGAAATTTACATTTCCTCCATCATACTGGCCACATTTCAAGGGCTACCATACTGGATGGCACAGTATCTGAAGTTTGTAGAGAAGAGTTGATGGGAAGTTGATACAGGAAGGGATGCAGGCCACAAAGAAACATGGGCTGTGTCTCTGGGAGCTAGAAGGGGCCTGGTAGGTCTTACTAGATGCCAGGCACTCTTCTAAGTCCTTGTACATGTTAGCACACTCAGCCTGCACAATAACACTGTGCAGCGGGTATTCTTATTGTTCCCCATTATATAAAGAACAGAGAGTCAGGAAGAATAAGAGACTTGCCCAAGGTCACACAGCAAAACAAATATTGGAACCCTGAATTCTGTGCTCCGCTTCTCCCAAGAGGGAAGTAGAAAAAAAAGGAAGATCTACTCAGGATGTGATAATGCTAGATTAGGTTGTGTCTGGCAGATGAAGTTAGAGCCCTTTTAAGTAGAATTCTTGACTTTTTCTATCTCAAGCCCCTTAAACCATTTACAGACAGGATGAGTGCAGTGTGATGGATAAGGGAGCCTGCATTCAAATCCCAGCTCAGGTATTTATAACTGTGACACCGGGCAAGCCATAAACCCCTCTACCTAGGGACGCTGTCTGCCTTATATACACTGCTGTAACTTTGCACCTAGAACAACGCCTGCTCAGTAAGTATCATAACTGTCAAATGAATGGACGAAAGGCACATTTTCTGCACTACCATGGGGTTTTAAGAGGGAAGTAGGATGGCCATTATGCTCTGTCCATTGTTTGTTCTACTCTCCTTTATCATTGTTTATACTAATATCACTCGTTTCCTCTTCAAAGGGCGTGAAAGAAGCACGAAGCTTTGGATCGGACTCTCCCTGATGGTCCCCATCCTTCTGTGCGTGGGGATCTTCAGCTGGTGCGCTCGGAAGCAAAAAAGACCACGTGGGTTTCTGAGATCAATGGCCGCGGCCAGCACTAGGCCGTTTCCTGGGCCACTTCCCTGGGACCTTTGGAGGCTTCTCTGTCCTCTCACAATGCCCTCCTACCTTTTCTCTCCCAAGACCTCATTTCTTCTCAGAGTGATGGAGGAAGGGGTATTAGTTGGGACTCTTTAGTTACAAATAATTAAAAACCCAAATCAAACCGGCCTAGACGAAAAGGGGGAGGGCATGCAGGGGGCATGATTTATTACTTTGGGATTCACAAAATCAGTCTGTGGGGAAAGCAGAGAAGGAGACCGTCTTAGCGACAAACATCACCAAAGGCTCAACAGTCACCAGGGCGCCCCACCTCTCATCCCTACGTTTCCTCTGACCCTCTTAATTCTCTCCTACCGCAGCCAGCTGAAGGGCGAGGGTGAGGGGTGGGGTATTCACAGCAACTGGTAGCTCCAGACCCAGGCGGACAAGCAGCTCATGGCAGGAAGGGGAGAAGATGCTGCTCCAACTCTGCTTTAAAAACTCAGAAACAGATCTGATTGGCCAGGCCTTGGGTCATGTGACCTCCGTTTGAACCAATCACTGTGGCCAAGGGGATGAGCTATTGTGATTGGCAACTCCCTTTGAATTGGAGTGGAAATGGAGTCGTTTGCGGAAAGAACATGTTGGTTAGAACACATGGGGCCCGTGGAAGATTTACTGTGAGCCACTGGGCCCCTCCCTGCGGCCCCCACCCCTTCCCATATCAAATTTCCGTCAACTTTGGGTCCTCCACACACTTTGGGAACTGCGAGCGAGCAACCAATCTGACCGGTGGCCGCTACAGAGGGCTTGGAGTTCTCCCTTCCAGCAGAGCGGCAGGAGCTCCAGCACCTGCTCCACAGCTGAAGATGAGCCCAGACTTCAGCCGCCCTTCCCATGGACCAGTACTCACATCGGGGTTCACCCTCCTCCCTCACGCCTTCCCCTGGCTAGTTCCGGGGGATTGCTCCCCCTCTCCTTTGTCGCCCCCAAAATCAGAGACGCCTTTTTCCTCCCAGCCCTGCTGATAAACTTCTCTCCCGCAGGTTTCTCAGGTTCTGCCCCAGACTTCAGTTCCAGCCCAGCTGAGGCCCCAGCTCACACACCAGGTAACATCCCCGATGATGCTGGCTATGGGGTCGCTGGGCCAGATGGGAGCCCCAAAGCCTGGCCACCCAGTGTGGTCTGCTGACTGGCAGCATATGCTTCACCTGGGATCTCGTTAGAAATGGACATCTTGGGCACCATCCCTGAATACTGAATTCTAATCGGCATCTTCACAAGACCCATAGGTGAAGCATATGCCTCTTAACGTGTGAGAAGCAATGTGCTAAAGGAAGGTAGTTTGGGGAACAACAGCCACAACCAGGATGGTGGTGAAAGATGCTAACCAGGACTGAGAGAGGTGGTCTGTCCTCTGGGGTCTCTAGGCTTTCTCAGGCATTGACCATCATATCATCACTCCATGTGGCCTACAGTTGTTTTCTGTTCTCTGAGAATGGAGAAGCAAAGGCCAGATGAAATGGTAAATTTGTGGGAAGACAAAACTAAAAATCAAAATTAAAACCATGAGGCTGTCTAGGCATCGGTTACCCTAGAGCATCACTGAGGACGTGGTTCTCCAGTTTTTGAAAAGCTAAAGAATGGGTTCTTCAAACAAAATATTGTGCCACAGCCCAGCAGCACAAAGCTGTAAAAGCGGCCGGTACTGACGAAGGTGGGCGGGGGAGCTGAGATGTCTGCACCTTTCTCTCCCTCCCACCCCTCCGGGTCCTAAATCACCGCCTTGACCTCTGGAGCTCTGGAGTTCTAAGGAACCCCAGGCTCAGACAAACCCTGCTTTAAAAACCCCTATGTCACAGAGGGGATCCCCCAGGAGATCGAGTAGGAGAAGGTAGGAACTGGGTAGGGGGCCAGGGGTTCACATAATCCAACAGTGCAGGCTTCTCCGACAGGAGAGTCTGACCAAGAGAAAGGGGCCAAGAATGAGAATGAGGCTGGGTATGGAGCCGCCCGCCAGCTCCCTCCTCCACCGGGCAGACCCTGGCCTCCCGCAGCCCGTGCCCCTTTCTCCCAGCTCTCTCCTCAGCTCCCCAGGCCTGCTTGTCCAGGCCATCCATTGTCTCCCCACGTCTCTTCTGCCACTGCCAGTGTTCAAGCTGTCGGCAATTTTTGTCTTATTGACTACATATCTTCTGTTCTCATTGAAGAGTCATATATTCACATAGTATATAATTGAAAAGAAAATCTTCCCAATCCCAGTCTCCAGGTCTCTCCCCTACAAGACCTCCATTGTTAAGATCTACATGTGTCTAATTCCTTCCAGAGCCTTCTAATGCATTTATAGGCATCACACTTATTTGTGTGTGTGTATGTCTGTTTAGGTGTTCTTTCTTTAATTACACATATGGGAGTAATCTATAACATTTTTTTGGAACCCTGCTTTTTTAACAGACCATATATAGATGAAGACTGACTCCTATTCTTTCCATCCTACAGATGTACCTTAATTTTTTTAAGTAGTCCTTTTTAACAGACATTCCCATTCCTTGTTACTTCTTCCTTAAAATATTATAAGTTTCCTAACTGTCTATTCCTTCTCCGGAGTTTCTCCTTTCTAACCTGCCTGCTCACCGCTTTGCGAGGCTCAACCCTGACTCCTCTACCACCACCAATGGCTCCTCGTGGCCTCTGTCTGTTATTCAAAAGGTCATTTAACCTAGGGGTCAGCTGTGTAAGTTCTGAGGTCAGGCAATCCTGTGTTCAAGTCCTAGCTCTTCTCCTTATCAGTGATCTTGGGCAATTCAGTCTCTAAGCTTCCTTATCTTGCAAACTGAAGGCACCAACCTCTCAGAGCTGCTGTGAGGACTGAGAGGTGCAGTGCCCACAGTGCGCCCCCAACAGGTGGCACCTAGTGTTCTGCCTCAGCATTGAGCCAGATCATCCTGTATCTACTTTTTTCCTACACAAAGCCTGTAGGGGGCAGTACTGAGTAGTAGTTCAGTACATCAGGGAACAGATTACCTGCCTTCCAGTCCTCACACTACCTCTAACTTGGGCAAATGCTTAACCTTTATGTGATCCAGTTTCCACATCTGCAAAAAATACATAAAGATGATGACTCTCTATGCTTCTTGGGTTTACACAGATTAGAGAAATGTGTTCACGGGAAGCATTTAGAACAGTGCCTGAAACACGGTAGGCACTCAGTAAATGTAAGTCATTATTACTCTGCGCTCAAATCAGTTGGGCTGCTTGATGTGAGAACGTCCACCAAAGGCAGGTAGACGTCTACCCAGTGCCACACCAGTTGTTCCCAGCAGGCATGCATTCTGATGGTCCTGTGCCCAAGTCACAGCAGTTGCTAAATATTTTGAATATCATCCTTTCCTAAAAGAGAAGGTGCCCCAGGTTTCACACCTGCCTTTGAATCATGATGCTCCCTCCACCGAGAATACTGTCACTCGTCAGAATCCTGCCCCGATGTCAAGACCCACCTCATTTCCTCCACTTTGAGTTCTTCCCTGCTTCCTAACCAGACACCATCTGCTCTCACCTCTGCACTTTTATACTTTTCCCATGATCTGTGTCAGAGCCGATTTATATTAATTGATTTATGTATGGCTCTGGCCCCCAGCTACACGTTGTACTCTTCCAAGACCAGGTCTCATTTATCTTTTTACCTCCCCAGAGAACCCATCCCAGCACTGAGGATGGTTTATCCAGCGGGCTCGGTTCTGCTCACTGAGAGGTGCGACCACACATACTCAGTGGTCAATGAATGTTTATCATATGAATGGATGAGCAAATGCATGAAAGGAAGGAGGAGGGGGAGTGCAATGGGAGGAGTCAGAGCAGCTTGGAGCTTTGCACAAAGCAGCAGAGCAGAGGGGTTGCCACGGTTCCTACCAACCCTGCACGATGTGTTGCAGAGCCCGCTGCTGGCCACCAGCTCTGCGCCCTGCACTCCCCAAGGCACCAGAAGCTGGACACTCCCCCTCAGCCTGCCAGGCAACAGCCCCAGCCCCGCTCTGACAGCAACTCTGACAGCGATGAAACAACTGAGGAGGAGGAGGAGGAGGGGGGAGGGGAGGACGGAGATGCGTAAGCCCGGCAGTGGCAGAGGCCACGTGTATGACTTGGACACTGGACATGACTTGGCCTCTGAGGAGCAAGCAGAGGATGATCTCGCCACTCCGGGAGGCGGGGCATCTGCATCTGTGGGCACAGGGCACACGGTGTATATGCAAGTGAACTTCAGCCTGCAGGTGAGCCCATTCAATCAGTACACCTTCCCTTCCCCTCCCACTTCCAGGCCCATCTACCATCCAGGGTGCTTAGTCGCTCCAAATGGGGGCTATTATTGGGGAGCAAGAACAGCAGCACATGGGCAGAGAACTGTAGCTTTATCCATGTCCCTCGAAATGAAGGAATTCATCCTTCAGCTCCCATCCTTGGGCCATGAATAAGGGAGGTGTGGGGGAACCAGAGGCTAAGGCAGCTGCTGCCCTCCGTGTGAGAGCAGGGCCAACTGTCCCCTCTCCTCAGGGGTTGAGGGAGGAATTCTGGAACTCTCGCATTTGGTGATCATGGACAGTCTGATGTTGATCTGTTTACAGGAAAAGACAGCAAATCCTCAGAATAAAGAAGATACAACCACGATCTACTGCTCCATACAGAAACCTCAGAAGGTGAGAACTACTTTCTCTTTCTCCTAAGTCCTGGATTTCCATGGATGAGGGGGGACGCTAATGTTCCACCCACTGTGCACCCCTCCAACACATTCCAAGGTCAACAAAGATGCCTAAACAAATGATCCTGATTTACACGTGTGCAGCCAAAGGCTGAACATTTCTAATGGATTTAATAATATCTTACATTGATTAGTCTTAACACTGACCAAAATGAGAGATTGTCAGCCCAAATATTTTTATGGTGTATGTCTGTTTCCAAATCTATCTCTAACCCTAATCCTAATCAATCCAAAATGATAACTTTCCAAATACTGGAAATCACCCAACAGTCCAATGTCAAGAATTTTGGGGAAATGTGCAATGAGCAATGACACATTCATTTTCTTGTACTGTTAAAAGAGATTTTAAGGGTAGGATTTACCATGAAATAATAACAACAGAAAAAAAAACTTTTGTATAAAGTATTACAGTTTACCAAACATTAACAAACATTCTCGCCTGATCCTATAAACACCTCTACAAATGTGTCATCACCCACATTTTAAAGCCAAAGATGCTGAGATTCAGAGTTCATTTTGCCTAAGGTCACATAGGTAGTAGTTGAAGTTTCAATATTAAGAACCACAAGGAGTTTTAAAATAATCCTGAATGACCATGACCTGAATCTGACTGTCCACTCCACTTTCCCTTTCCTGAAAATATTGGGTCCATACATACTTTCATTTTCACATGTCCCCAGAATTCCCTCCCTGTAAATGTTCAAACAAGATTTAAAGAGAAAAAGAAAAAGATCTCAAAGTCTTTCTGTGATGTTATTTGTCTGTGACTGATGAATCAATCAGTAGATATTTATTGAGCAGCTTTTGTTTGCCCAGAACTTGGCTGAGTGCCATGGCCATTCAGATATGTTTAAGACACCATCCTTGGGCTTGAAAACTTGTTTTCCTATTTGTCTTTTGGTGGAAGGAGAGTGGAGCTGGTGCAGCCATCTGCAAGGGGAATGGAAATGCCCTGCACGGCTGCTTATTATGTGTGCGATTGCCAGGGGTTTTTCAGTCACCAGAAGTGGGAGAAATCACTGCACTGAGGTAGACAGGAAAGGCTTCATGAAAAAATAATTTGGATTTGACCTGAACAGATGGATGGAATTTGCTCACTCAATACTTGTGTAGATGGGCAGCTCAGTTCAACAATCATCTTCCTCATGTGCCATTTCAGAGCGAGGCCGGATGCTTAGCCTGCTAGGGACTTCACCCTTGGCCTTGAGGCCAAATCTGTTCTGTCCACCCCACTCCCAAAGCTGTTTTCCACTCTCACCTGGCCCCTTGTGTTTGGGCCAATCACGGTCAATCTTAAAGTCATGGACATCAGTCTCTGCGTGGAGTTTCCGAACGGTCATGTGTCATTGGTCTGGTCAGTCCTGCATGGCTCTCACACTACCCTGGGGACTTCAGGTCCTCACAACCACTCTCACCCACAGAGTAAGAGAATTCAGTGCATTTCTTCAGCCAAGGTCTTGGCAGAATTTATCCATTGACTTCAGAATTTTTAGGACCAGGAATTCTGGTTCTGGGTCCCCTAAAGCCATTTTGCCCGCTTGCCCAGGAAACTCTCAAACCTACTTTAATTATGATTTTCTGACACATGTCTCTGCATAATACACGAAGCTTTATGCTATTCCCAGACTAGTGCTGGCACCCAGCCTTCCCTCCTCTCTGTTCTCCAGGGCCTTCCCTGAACACTGAGACAAGGGGTCCTCAGACCCGTTGGAACATGAAGGTCTGATGGTCCGGACCAGTTTAGAACTTAACCTCCACCACCTGAATTATCTCTCTGTAAAGGTTTGTCCTATTTCTCCAGCTAGGGCAGAGATTGGGTTCATAGTAGCTCCTTGAGAGCAAGGCCTTTTATTGTCATTTTTGAATCCCCTCAATTCGCTGCTTTAAACTTCCTTATATCTGGAATACAGACTCTCACCCACTTACCAGGAGCGTCTCTGTAAATGCTCGCCATCAGCTTGGTTGACGGCTCCATTATGACCTGACGTCTATAGGAGGTACCAGTCTTAGCCTCGCCTCACATTCCTCTCTCTCTCCCCCCAGCACAAGCCAAAGGAAACCGGAGCCTTCCAGGCTTTAGTAACCATATTCTTTTGTGTCTTTTGGCCCACAGATAGTGCGACCACCACAACAGAGTGATCCTGAGTCTCCTGAAATCCCTACCTACGAAAATTTCACCTGAAAAGAAGAGCAGGAGAAACAGGGGCAGCTGGACCTTTGCACCACCTTCTAAATCGTTGCTGAAATAAATGCAACATGGACTGGCAGATCTATGTAAACTCTGCCACTGCAGTATTTTCTTTTAAGTAAAAGGAAATAACCTAAGTGTCCATATAGTAGGAGTCTGCTTAAATACCCCGCAGTGTACCCATGCAATAGCAAACCCTGCCAGATTTGTAAAGAAAGGGGAGACTATTCTGTGCTAATAGAGAATGAGCTCTAAGATACATTGTTAAGTGGAAAGAACAAAGTCCAGGACAGTGTGTACCACATGCTACAGGTGGATAAAAAAGAAATGCATATCTAGGTATAAAAATGTTCTGAAAGAAAGTACAAAAAAATGTACCAAGGGCTGCCTCTGGAGAGGGAACTGGGTTTTTTTTTCAGTGTATACTTTTTTGTACTGCTGGATTTTTTAACCATATGTATGCATTACTCTTCTGGTATACATCTTTAGTAAATATGCTTCCTATATTTACCCAAAAGAATTTCCTTCTTTACTGTCAGGTTTGGATGCAGCCATCTGGATGCAGTCTCTCTCTTCTCCCCTAAACTGTGGCCTCAGCCCTGTCCCCCCACCTGTAAGTTGCATCACCCTTGGCTTATATTCATGACATTCCAGTGTACAATTGTGTGACATGCTCCTTGCAGCCCATGTATGTCCTTTAATATGGTGCTTCTGCTGTCGCGCGCTCCTGCACACAGTCGGTGGAGTTATATGTCTTCTGTGGCCTGCAGAAGACATATACTCCCAGGGGCCAGGCGGTGCTTCATAGACAGCAGGAGCTTGACTGTTGCTTGTTCACTGGCTGGTCCTTGCAGGAATGATTATTTTTGTAAGGCATTATTGCAGCATCCCAACAAAGCCACATAATACGATACTGTTGTATGTTATTACACTCCAGAACAGTGCATCTCAAAAGCCCTGGGCCCTTAAGGCCTCTTGCTCCTTAAATAAATCTGGCAAGCTCACAATCTACACAACTCAAATCACATGAAAGGCCAACTGCAGGCAATGGTCAGTGTCTCTGGTGTCCATCCGGACTGCCGCAACGCCATCATTTCCGGCTCCCTCGCTCACGAAATCCCTTGACTCTACAGCTCAGCTCCCATATGCCTCAGGCCTGCCAGACTCCTTTTGCACATATTTTCCTGGTTTTTTTACCCTTGACGTTCTCTCTAGGCTGTGGAATGTCCACACTTGTCTCCAGGAGAAAGCCAGCCTGCCAGCCTCATAGGGATGAGGCGGGGCTTGAGCAAATGCAAGTTGTGGCTGCTTCCCCTTAGCCTGAACAGCCCCAAAAACTGGGCATCCTGGAAATCTGCTGTTCATGGATGAACAAGACAGGGAGACACTGACAGCTCACCGGGAGGCAGACCCCTCTCCAGCAGGAATTAAACAGATATGCATTTATTGATGGACACCAATCAGTGCCCCTTGGCTGCTGTAGAGAGGAAAAGTGCAGAATGCAAAGAAGACATATAAATTGAATTCAGGAAATAAATTTAGATTGCCTCTGAATAACACCACAGTTTTATATTAAATTTGTACATTAAATACCAAGTTCCACGTGGTACTATCGCCTGTTGGGGTGTCTGGGCAGGGCCTCCTTCGGCCATCCCCCGTCCCTTTCCTGGGCTCAACCAGTCACAGCCCTGGTCCCCACAGCCTTGGGGGAGGGTCCAGCCTAAAGACTTGGGGGCCCAGTATACTGTCTGCTTCCCCGCCACCCAGTGTCTGAGGCCTCCCTCCAGCAGGAGCCATGGGGAACGCTCATCAGAACTCAGAACTTACATAGCAGATTGTTCCTAACTGTGAAAAATTTGAAGAAGCCAAAATGGATTTCAGATCATGTGGGGTTTTTTTTGAGAGGGCATATCTCATATTTATTGATCAAATGGTTGTTAACAACAATAAAATTCTGTATAGGGGACTCAATGCACAATCATTAATCAACCCCAAGCCTCCAACCGTCTCCAATCTTCTGAAGCATAACGAACAAGTTCTTATATGGTGAACAAGTTCTTACATAGTGAATAAGTTCTTACAAGACCATGTGTTTTTATAAATCAAACAACATGCTTTAGACAAAGCTGGGCTCACCGCCCCACTCGCAGCGCAGCACCGGCTCAGGGTGGGTTTTCCACGTGGGGATGGGCATGCCTGTGCCGTACACTCCCGCTCCTGCCCGCTCGCCCCTGCGGTCAACAGGCAGAGGTACAGATTTACTGCGGTGGGAGAGGAGGCTCCTTCCTCTGTGTCTGAGTAAAGCCCAGGCTGGCCCCTAGGAGGGCCTGCCAGCCACTCACCGCCCACCCTCGTGGAGTGGGGCTCCTTCTCCTTCTCTGAGCCAGCAGGATCCCTCCTTCCTCTTTGGAAGATGGGCCTGGGCAAGGGAAGGATCTAAATGGGCTCATCCGAATTAGGGAAGACGGGAAATGGGTAATAGACAGAGAACCAGGGGACTGGAATCTTGATGCTAATAACAGCAACACCCGACGTCCTCACAGCACTGGACAGATTCCCAGTGCTTGGACTCTCTGTATAGTCTTTTGTAAACTGTCCAAACCTCTCCATTCTTATCTGGTCTGCCGATTGAGGGAGATTATATCACAGCCTTGCTTTCACAATGGCTGTTAGAAATCATCTTCAAAGCAAAATACAGGCCAAGAACAAACTCCCATGTCCTCTCCAGACTAGGAACCATTCTGTAGACACTCGTGTGGCACCACGCATCGCTCTGATTCCCCAGCCGGGGCCGGGCTGTGAGAGCTGAGGAGGACTGTGACCACTAGGAGTACACGTAAAAGCTCTCCAGCTCCTTGCAGCTCAGCCGCACAGGGTTCTGGGCTCTGGGCTCCCTCCTCCCAACCTGCAGAAGAAAAGGAGAACCTCAGACCCTCCCACTAAGAGGTCCTCACAACAACCCTCATGACCACTATCCCCGTTTTAGATTATAAAAATGAGGCTTTGAGTGGGGAAACAAGGAACCTGGGGTCAACAGCCAGTATGAAGTAAAAGGTTTGATCCAGTTCTTCTGGCTCCAATTCCAGTGTGTTTTTTTTAACCACACCATGCTTCCTCATGACCCCGCAGATAGCCTCGGCCCACATGGTGTCCTCCGCAACCCCAGACTAAACGTGGTTAAATGTGGGACAACAGCCGAAGTGCCAGAAATCCCAGCAGGCACATATCCACCCTCTTCCTGTGACCAGTGGCAGCATCGTTACTGGACAGCAGGGGGAAGTGTGGGTGTAGCAGGAGGCTAATGAATGGGGGTGCTCCTCATGCTTGAATTTCTCTGGGTATAAATGGGAAGTATAATTATACCCACCACACAGCATTTTGTGAGGACTGAATGAGATAATTCACAGGAAGCCACTAGGCAAGCTCCTGTATACATCATAAGCCCCCAGTAAATGTTGAGTCCCTACTTTCCATTCCCTAAAGGCCTGATGGGAATCCATTAGGCTGGTGCAGCCACCACCTTTTTTCATTATCCAACTCAGACCAGCTTAAGATCACCTATACCCCGGGAGGTTCCCAATTACTTGCTAATGAAGAAGACCATGTAGATTTCACTTGTCCTCCCTTCTCTGCCCTCCACCCCTCACCCACACACACCCTTGAAAGGTAGATGTCCAGCATGTAGCCCACAGCTGGCGGACCAGCCTGGGGACAGTCCAATTTAAAATCCCAGTAAGAGTCAAACCCCATCACATGGTATGATGTCCTTGGGTTAAACGTCACCCTCCTTGGACTTCAGTTTCTTCATTTCTAAAATGAAGATCTGGATTAGAAGACCTCTAAAATCCCCACCCCTCTGACACTGCGTATGTGACTTTTTCACAAATGTAGGACTTCAGAGGTCTGTCGTGGGCACAAAATCCACTCAGCAACAGACTCTTACCTCGTCATACACAGTGTTGTTGAGGGAAGGCCCGTGGCTCTTCTTCTTGGTTCCAGACTGGAAATTCATAGGACAAAGAGTGCTTAGCTTCACGTTAGTAAATGATGCAAGAGGCCCCAAAAGATTCAGGGCCCAGAAATTTCCTAAGTCCCCCAGCCAGAAGTGCACAGAGCCTCCTACCCCCGGAATAAACAATGGTGTTTATGATTCCAGAGAAGATACAGTACATACTTGCTTATGATATGATATTTCTGAACCAGCCAGAGTTTAGTATCCCACTCCCACATGCCCCTCCCACCCACACATGCCAGCACACACAGCCATACACAGAGCCTTAGACAAACCTAATTCAAATGCTGCCTCAAACCTTCTATCCCTCCAATGCACACAACCCTAGTGTAAATACTTCTGGTGCACACGTAAGTACCACGCCCAGCCCATACCCTGACGAGGTGAAACCCTGGAATTCAGAAGCACTTCCAGTAAGAAACAGAGTTTTCATAACATAATACCAAAGCACATATTCATGGCACCTGTGACCATCTGTATGTCCATGTACTGTAGCAGGTAATGTAAATATAAATACCTCTCATGGTGGAATTCAAGTTGTTGAATCACTTATTGGAATGAAAAATCTGAAAACCTCTCCCCAGTTTGATAGAAACACATGATCCCTGACCTGTACGTGCTCAACACTTCCACAGTTTGTCAGATTCCCAGTTTCCCATACTAACATGGTAAGGTTATGGCTTCACTCTGTGACTCCAGCCTTGGGAACGCCATTCAAGGTTGGTCACTATGCGGGGGGGGGGGGGGGGGGGTAGGACGGGTGGAGGGAGGGTGGGTTTCCCACCCGACCAGCTTACCCAGTTCTGTGGTTCCAGGTACACAAGAGCTGTGAGCCCAGCCTGGAGCAGGATTCCAGGGGACCATGAAGGTTGCCACAAGAGGCCTCCCCAAAGGGTGACTGGCCAGACCGTTTGTCTGGTTCCCTAAAAGTCAACATCCTATCTCCCTAGATCCTGTCTACTCCTCCAGCTCCACGCGCTATGCCCGTCTGGGAAACCTCTCCGATACCTCGCACTGTAGCTTCGGCTGGTCGGCTAAGACTCTATGGTCCCTCTGCACAAAGCACCTCTTTTCTGCCTTGTTTGTTTTCTGCCTCCCACAGAAACTCCTAGAGACTCCTTTAATCCACTATCTTAGTCTCAGAGCTGTTCTTTCTCCAAACGGAACCAGAAGGCATTTCTAGTTGGTCCATTAGCATTTAAATGCAGTCATTTAACACAAGCTGCTCAGATACACCGGTAAACAAAATCCTTGAAAAGTGCTGGTGCGCTCACAGGGGAAACGCGCGCCTGCAGGTGCCCAGGGGTTGGAAACCCACACCTGCATCAATAGCGCCCCCTGGAGGAGCGGACTCACCTTCCGGGAAGGCTGGACTAGTGAATACAGTGTAGTTTCTTGTGATGTGGAAGCAGAAGGCTAATGGAAAGAGAAATAAAATCATTTCAGACGCATAGATCCAGCACAGCTCCAGGGCTCATCTCTCCCATCCCTCCCTGCCAGCCTTGCCCGGACAGAAGAAGACTTAGGTGTTAGTGGAAGGAGCACTGGACTAGTCGGGAGGTCAGGCAACCGAGTGCCGCTCTGCCAGCAGAGAGCCGCTGTTGGTTGGGCCCTGGTTTAGTGCTTACGTCCTGACACTTAGAACGCCCTACACGATAGGAAAGATCATAATCCACCGCATTGTTCAGATGAGCAAATAGCCTCGGCCAAGGTGTTCACAGTAGGGCGGGATTTAAACCCCAGGACTTACAGGGCTCCTTCCTCCACCCCTCAATGCCTCCTTCCTTCCCTGGACCTGACCGGGGTGTCCTTGATGGCAGTGCTCCCGGGCCCTCTGGAAAGACACTCCGGAGGAGGAAGCTCATTCTCACTCAAATCTCAGTCCAAGAGGAGCTCTCCCCTGCCATGTATTCAAATTCCTCTTGTTGGAATTCAATGTGACTAAAGCCAGACAACTGGCAGGGATCAACCACTCTTACAGCAGTCAAACAGCTTTAGCCCTCTGTTAGGGAATCGCATTATCTTAAGGCGAACAGGAGGACGCGACACCCAACCTGGGAATTCTGCAGTGGCTCTGAGTAGGTGAGCATCTCCCTCCCCTCCGTCCCGGTCTCCTTCATCTTTCCCCCGCTTTTCCTCTCCACTTCATTGCCTACCCTCCCCTCTTCCCCTCCTTCCCTTTCTCTTCTTCCTCCTTTTCTTGATCATTCTCTGAAGCTTATCACCATTCCCCAAGGATTTTCTCAGCCACCAAACTGAAGAAGTTGCTACTTCAGATATGAATTTGTTTTAAGTCATTTTTATCAGAAATTTTTCATCACTGGTCACCCGGTGGGTGGTGTTTCCCTTGAGAAGATGACCCGGTCTGGGTTATCAGTAACGTCATCTTAGCTGTCACTATTAGAGGATGCTTCTCTAACTTGTGGGTGAGTTTCCAGAATCCCAGAATGTTAAAGACGAGGTTGGGGAAGGTGGAGCAGAGACTCAAGCATTTGGTTCAGCTTTGCCACTACCCAGCTAGGTGGCCTCGAGCCCATGAGTTAATCTCTGATCAGTTTTCCCATCTGCAAAGTGGGGTTTGTATTAGACCTACTTCATGAGGCCGTTTTGTGAAATTCATTAAGAAAGGAGGCACAGTTCCGTACTTAATAAATGTTATCATTAAGAAATAATAAGATAAAAGAGAACACGGACCCAGGCTTTCCTGAAAACAGGCACAATAAGGAGTGGAGAGAAAAAGTCCAAGGGCCCCAAGACTCGGAAGCAGCAAGGCGGGAAAAGAGGAGTCCAGGCCCCTGATAAGCTTCCTCCACCTACTGACTTTATCTGGGCCACACCTGCCGCCCAGGCATGGAAGAAAAAAGTGTGTCCACATCAGCCCTTCCAGCTCTGCTCTGCTCCGTCAAGAGACTCCAGAAATACACCGAACTTTTCAAACAACTCAGTTCAGCTGAAGCCAAGCCATCTTCTAGACCCCAGGAGTACTGAGGTTTCAGTCTGCCACTCAAGGGTGTAAGGGCATCAGGAAGCCCCACAGACACGTACGGATGGGTGTGAGAAGCCGGAGTGGTACCTGGGACTGGATCACGGAGTAGACGGTGGCGCCTTCTCCGGGGGAATTCTGCTTCTGCCTCTGCACGAGAAATAATGAAGGGACGTGTGGTGACATGAGCAGACAGCCTGCGCCGAGTGGGGAAAGACAGCACAGAGTCCAGGGAGGGAGGCAGTCACGGGCCACCCCCAGGATGGGGGGGCTGTGGGAAGGGAGACTCCCAGTGGGACAGCGAGAGTCTGGAGCGAGGAACCACCCAGGTGTGAAGGGACAGCACGAGTGGTCCTGCCCACAGGGGCTCCTGTCGCCTTCTTGACTTGGGCAGCTTAGAAACCTGCCTTTACTGGCTACCTTCCTGACTAAACTTACCACATAACCACCAATGATGCGCTGAGCTCTGAGTAGGGCTCTGATCTCAGCCATACCTCAGGACGCTAAAATTCAGAGGCTTCAACCGTTTTAAAGACCAAGCACATTAAAGCTTCCTCTCTAGATCCAGCTTTGTGGCCAGCTCGCCCTCGGCCTCAAGCCAGTCCCCTGGGCAGCTACGGAGCCAGATGGAGCCCCGGACACATGGCCGAAAGCCAGGGGCACAGACACTGCCTGCTTCCCTCTTGCCCCACAGGAAATCGGGGTTCGGGATGGCTCATGCTGTTCGTTCCCTGAGCCCATATTGCAATGTCCGGCCCTGCGGGGAGACCAGCAGTCATGAGACAAGGTACAAGCCTGCTCCCCAGAAGCAGGGAGAGGCCAGGAGGAGCAGAGAAACACCAGCTGTCCTTGGAGGCTACAGAGTCATGGGCATCTGGCAAGAAACAGGGGTTTGTTGTTTTCCTCTTCTGCCCGGACCTGAGGGAAGTGTTTCCAGAAAGGTCTGGGGCCCCAGAATGAGGCCACATGAAGACTGAGATTTAAGCCTTCAAAGGCAACATTGCAGACACTGCAGGGAGAGGCCAGGGAGGGAGGCCGGGGAGGGAGGCCAGGGAGGGAGGAGCCGAGTCGGTGGCAGGCCTGAGGCCCCAGGAGGTTTTTTCTGGAGTTATTTTCCTCTGTATCCTCCTTCATGTACCGATCCAAAGTAATCTTCATTCTGTGGGCTTGGGGAGGCCATGGTTAGCGGGTGTTTGGGCATCGGTGGCTGCAGGCAGGTGCTCTTGTTCTCAGCGTGGTCGTAATAGGAGAAGCAGAGCCTTTTCTTGTTTCTCACACCCCGACATTCCGCTGCCGAGGCGAGGAAACAGGCTAGGGGAGCTTGATTCCCGAGGAGCCCAGACCTAAGGGAAGCCGCCTCTCTGCAAGGCCTCCCAGGGCCTCAGGCGCAGAAGGCGGAAGGGCCCCCACCCCGACTCTGGCCCCGCCCACTCAGGCCGAGCCCCGGGAATAAGGGTGGGAAGAGCGCCGTTCCTCTTCCTGCCGGGAGCTCAGCTGGACCCTGTCGATGCCCTGGGCCTGGGCCGCCTGCTGCCCTGGTCGGGGGCGAAGCAGCAGGGCCGCCCTTCCGCTGTCTGCAGTCCACTGCTTTTCCTCGGCCCTGGGGGCCCCACTGAGCTGGCCGCTGCTGCACAGCCGGGCCTGGAGCTTCGCACACCGGCTCATCTGCTTCCTGCTAACCTGGTTATTGTCTCTAGCATCTCAGCCAGACTGAGGCCTCTTCTTCCCAAGGCACTGTGAGCACAGAGCAGCATACATTGTGGCTGGTCAGGCTGGCACCCTCCCCAGCCTGGGCAACGGTCAAGGGGCCCATAAAAGTGAGCCTAGGCTTGCAGGGATGTGGGAATTTGTGGTTGGACACAACACACAAGAAAGTTGGACCCTTCCTGGGGGCTGACCCAGCGGGTAAGGACCCTGGGTGCCATCTGGGGAGGCAGGAGCAGCATGCCCTACGCACTACGCCATGGCCTCTGCTGTGCTTCATCCCTTCCCAACAGGGGCAGCTCTGCACCAAGATGCCCCCTGCCTGCTGCCGTCTCCTTAGCTCCCTTGTTTTCCTCTTTTCCTTCTTGGCCAGAGCTGGGAGATTGATGGAGAAAAGATAGATGGGCAGGCTGAGGATCCTCCTGAGGACAGCTGTCGGGTTCTCTTTGTCCCCTGCTCCTGATGGCCATCCTCCCAAGGGCATCTTCCACACTAACTGAGAGAAACCCCAGCCCCTAGGGTGCCGTACTTGATTTCTCCTGATTTGCGGGTTCTTGACATCTTCATAAATTGTCAGAAGTTCCTCCGGGCTGGTCTCTGTGAGGGGAAAGAAGCACAGCAGAGAGCTGCAGAGACCTCCAGGGGCTTCTGGTCCTGGAGTCCCACCTTCATCCCACATGGCCAAGACCTGGAGAAATGTTCTAGAAAGGAGGCAACTTAGTGCTCTTCCCGGGATACCCAAAGAGCTCATGGCACCCACCACCACGGACACACCTACTCATCAAGCCAGACGGTCCCCCACCAAATCAGCCACCTGCAGGGAAATCTGCACATCGGGGACCAGACTGTGAACCTCCCAGGGCCACCCCAGAAGGCAGGACCGGAAGAAAGGGCTCAGCAGCCACTGCCTCCCCTCCAGACCATGCAGGTGCATCCCAGTGCTCCCCAGGAGAGGCAGGGGCCATGCCCCCAGGCGCATGCCACTGGGGATGTTAAGCAGGCAGCAGCACCTGCTAGGAACCCCACTTACCTGACTTCTCCCTCTTCCTCCTCCGCACACAGAAGCAGGTGAGGGTGCCCAGGAACAGTGAGACTAGGAGAATCACGACCGCCACCAAAAAGGGCAGAAAGCCCAATTCTGAGGGACATGGAAGGCAGGAGGCCTGAGCTCTCGCCTTCTCTCTGCTCCCTCCCCACCTGTCTCCCGTAGGAGCTGCCTCAAAACCCACACTCCTCTCCTGGGTGGCTGGGCTCCCCATGCCCTATGCACTCACCTCAAGGTGGTCTCTCTGCCCAATTGGGTGACCTCCCCTGAGTGATGCTAAGAATGTGGATACTAATATCTGACAGGACTTCCTCAATCTCTCTGAGCCTGTGTTCACTTACAAAAATGAGATAATGTTATCTACACATGGGGGTTTAAGTACCTAATTCAACCTATGTTATGTAACAAATGTTACATCCACCAATTTTTTCATTTTTTACTCAACAAACATTTTTTGCACACCGACTATGTGGGAGGCAAGTCTTCCCTTCCACCTTTCTGCTATTCCTGCCTCTGCTGACCTTCCTCTTCTGAACTTCTGCATTTCACATTTGTGACCTGCCTGTAGCCTGACATATAAGCCGGCAAGTCAAGAAGGGAAAGGAATTAAGCATTCCGGGTGCCAGCTGTCTAGGCGCTTTACAGATATTTTCTCATTTTATCTTAACGAGAATTCTGTGAGGTCCTTTATTATTAACATCCCCAGTTTACCCAAGAAAAAAATCGGAGCTCACCGAAGTTAATGAATCTGCCTGAGGTCACAGAGCTAGTGAGAGGTGAAGCCATGGGTGACACTGTTCGCTTCTTTCTCACCCATGAGGACTTAAGTTTCGTTAGCCCTGTTTGGCTGTAAATTCTTCAAGGACGGGAACAACAGTTGTTTTTTTCCCTGTTATGCCCGTGCTGATGACACATTAAATTATTTGTTTACCTAATAAAAACTGGTGCGAACTTAACTCAGGGTAACTCTCAGAATAACCATGAGCAATAAACTCTTCCGGGCAGCCTGGTTTCAGCCTGATGCTCCCACGACACTGTTGTGTCTTGTAGGGGAACCATATCGCCTGCGGGAGTTACCACTCAGGAGGGGAAGCAGGCCTCTATCAGAGTCTCAAAGGAAGAAAATAACGATCAGCAGATGTGGCTGGGCAGTGACTCACTAAGCATTCCAGGAATAATCTTGCATCTCCTAGAAGGAGATTCTTGCTGGGGATAAAATTATTCCTAGACTAAAACAGGCCTGCCTTATAGGAACTGTGTGCCCAGAGGCCAGGGCCACCCCGGGGAAGGGCTGCAGGGCACCGGGGGAGTCAGCCAAGAGATCTCCTGCCCGGGTCTTCTTGCACATGAACCTGGATGCGAGGTCTAACTCCTGCCCCTGTTATAAGCCAAAGTGCTCCACTCACTCTGGTGGCCAGTCAGACAGCCTGGGGTGAGCGTGAGGGTGTTGTCTGCCCAGCTGACAGGGTTGCTGACATTGCAGGTGAATGTGTGCAAACTGTTGATGTCAATCTGCACTTCCAGTCTGGTGAGGTTCCTCGATGTCCGGATCATCTCACTCCCTCTGTACCAAGCATAACTCACATCACCACCTCTGGAGACCAAGCAGGACAGAGTCACCTGGCACTTCCCCGTGTCCAGGGCCTTCCACTGACCCAGCACGCGGGGCTCCTCGACGTGATCTGGAAGCAGAGATTCTGATCAGACAGGCACTGGATATTCAAGCCCTGTGTGAGTCAGAGGGGCAGGGTGAGCTTTCCTGAGGACTCACCAAATACAGAAACCTGGAACTTGTGCTGTGACACGTGCCCAGATTGATTGGTGAGCTCCAGGAAGTAGAGGCCGCTGTCCTGATGCTGAGCTGCCTCGATGTGAAGAGTTAAGTCCTCGATCGAAAATCTGAGTCTATTGTTGAAATGATTCAAAGTCTGATTTTCGTACTTCATACCCAAAGTATTCTTCCAAGTCAGTATCACATAACACTTTGAATTTGAGGGCCATTGCACCTTCCACTGAACAGAGTATGCTTCTATCCTTACGGTGCTGGAGGGCCGTAAGCAGACAGATGCTCCTGAGAGTCTAACCACATGGTGGGCAGAATCTTGGGATTCTAGAAAAGAGAACCCAGGCTGGAGGTGGCAGAAAGGGTGTCAGGCCCAGTGCAGTAAGTGAACAACAGTGGAAGTTCCTGTGACTATTTTTAGCAGGGAAGCTTTGTGGCATGGCCAGTCGATGCAAGAAATAAACATGTCTTTCTGGGTGGGATGGAGAGGATCAAAGAGAGTTTGGAAAAAAGAATAGGAGATGGGGATAGTTATACAAATAAATCTGTTAAAATGGAGGACACTGAGAGGACAGCAATGGAGAGAGAGGGATTTTTAGGTGTCCATATGCGTTATAAATGCCCTCACTCCCAACCACACCTTCACTCTGGCATTTCCTCAAGAGACTGAGTAAATTATTAAAGAACTTGTAATTACTGTTTGGGGTGGTCCATTCTGCAGCAACAGTAACCTGAAGCCTAGATTTTTAAAAGCATAATTGGACAGCCAAGAAAGGAGAGAGAGATAATTAAAAAGAGATATTGGATAAGAATTTTACAAAATGGACAAAAGCCATTGTAAAATGTGCTACAAATCTGAAGCAAGAGTAAAACAAAACAAAAAATATATACACATCAAAAAAAATTTATTTTCAAACCAAAAGACAAAGAGAAAAATCTTTCAAAAGGCAGAAGGGAAATATAATTCCTTTCACAAAAGAAACAATTTACAGCTGACATTTCAATATAAAAGATAAAAAACAGGAGACAGTGGGATAATATCTTCAAAGTGCTGAAATAAATAATTGCCAAGCTGGAATTTTACACCAGTGAAATGATATCTCAATAATAAAAATGAAATAAAGGCATTTTTAGAAAAACAAAAATTGAGAGAACTTGTCTCAAATAGAGCTGGAGTAAGGAAAACACCAAGGGATACTCTTCAGTAGAGAAAATAATCCAAGATGGGAACTCAGAGATAAGAACAGATGACGAACAATAGAAACAGTAAATATGTAGTTCCATATGTAAATGAATATTGACTGTTTAAAGATATAAGAATAATGTCTTGCAGAGTTAAAATATTGAATTAAAGTAAAAATAAATAAATAAATAAATAAATTTTTTTCAGAAATGGGCAAAGAAAATTAAAATGTCTAGTCCAGAAAGTAACAAAAAGTGCTATTTTATATTCACCTTTGATAAATCAAGAACACATGCTCTAATCTCCAGACTAATCACTAAATGAATAGTGAAATAATGTAAAATGGTAAAGTTAAAACATAATGTGAAGAAGAAATAAAGAAATAACTATCATCAATCCAAAAGAAGGAAATAAAGGATAGAAAAAGAAAGATAGAACAGGCAGGGCCATAGAAAGTAAATAGTAATATGGTGGATTTAATTCCAAAAGACAAAAAAATAAAGGGATGGAAAAGATATTACATGGAAATAATAGGGGGAGAAAAACAAGAGTAGCAGTACTTATATCAGGCAAAATTGATTTCAAAACAAAGAAACAAGAGACAAAGAAGGACATTACATAATGATAAAGGGATCAGTCCAACAAGAGAATATAACCATTATAAATATCTATGTACTCAACATAGGAGCACCTAAATATGTAAAACAAATACTAGCAGAATTAAAGGAGGAAATAGATTGCAACACATTCATTTCAGAAGACTTTAACACACCACTCACATCAATAGACAGATCAACCAGACAGAAAATAAATAAGGAAACAGAGGCACTGAACCAAATGGACTTAACAGATACCTTCAGGACACTCCACCCAAAAGCAGCAGGATGCACATTCTTATCAAGTGTACATGGAATGTTCTCCAGAATAGATCACAAGAAGAGCCTCAATAAATTCAAAAATATTGAAATTGTATCAAACATCTTCTCAGACCACAATGGTATAAAACTAGAAATAAATTACACAAAGAAAACAAAGACTTAAAAACACATGGATGCCAAACAACATGCTTTTAAATAATCAATGGATAGATTAAAAAATTAAGACAGAATCAAGCAATACATGGAGACAAATGAAAACAAAAACACAACAACCCAAAATCGGTGGGACACAGCAAAGGCAGTTCTAAGAGGAAAATACATAGCAACACAGGCTTACCTCAAGAAACAAGAACAGTCCCAAATAAACAATCTAAAATCACAATTAAAGAAACTAGAAAAAGAAGAACAAATGAAACCCAAAGTCAGTAGAAGGAGGGACATAATAAAGATCAGAGCAGAAATAAATAAAATAGAGAAGAATAAAACAATAGAAAAAAATCAATGAAACCAGGAGCTGGTCCTTTGAGAAAATAAACAAAATAGATAAACCACTAGCCAGACTTATCAAGAAAAAAAGAAAGTGTACACACATAAACAGTATCAGTAACAAAGAAGGAATATCACAATGGATACTGTAGAAATACAAAGAATTATTAGAGAATACCATGAAAAATTATATGTCAGTAAATTGGACAACTTAGAAGAAATCGACAACTTCCTAGAAAAATACAACCTTCTAAGACTGACCCAGGAAGAAACAGAAAATCTGAAGAGATCAATTGCCAACAATGAAATTAAATCAGTAATCAAAAAACTCCCCCGAAACAAAACTCCAAGTCCAGATGGCTTCACAGCCAAATTCTACCAAACACTTAAAGAAGAGCTAATACCCATTCCTTCTTACAGCATTCCAAAAAGTAGAAGAGGAGAGAATACTTCCAAACTCATTCTATGAGGCCAGCATCACTCTAATACCAAAACCAGACAAAGACACCACAAAAAAAGAAAACTACAAACCAATACCCCTGATGAACATAGATGCAAAAATTCTCAACAAAATATTAGCAAATCAAATCCAAAAATACATCAAAAAGATCATCCATCATAACCAAGTGGGATTTAGTCCAGGGATGCAAGGATGGTACAATATTCTTAAATCCATCAATATCATATAGCACATTAACAAAAAGAAGGATAAAAACCACATGATCATCTCAATAGATGCTGAAAAAGCATTTGACAAAATTCAACATCCATTCATGATAAAAACTCTCAACAAAATGGGTATAGAGGGCAAGTACCTCAACATAATAAAGGCCATCTATGATAAACCCACAGCCAACATCATACTGAAGAGTGAAAAGCTGAAAGCTTTTCCTCTAAGATAAGGAACAAGACAAGAAGACCCACTATCCTCACTCTTATTCAACATAGTACTGGAGATTCTAGCCACGGCAATCAGACAACACAAAGAGAAAAAAGGCATCCAAATTGGTAAGGAAGAAATTAAACTCTCACTATTTGCAGATGACATGATATGATACATAGAAAACCCCAAGAAATCCACCAAAACACTACTAGACCTAATAACTGAATTCAACAAAGTTGCAAGATACAAAATTAATACACAGAAATCTGTTGCATTCCTATATACTAACAACAAACTAGCAGAAAGAGAAATCAGGAAAACAACCCCATTTACAATTGAATCAAAAAGAATAAAATACATAGGAATAAACCTACTCAAGGAGGTAAAAGACCTATACTCTGAAAACTACAAGACGCTCATGAGAAAAATTTAAAAAGACACCAAAAAATGGAAATCTATCCCATGCTCATAGGTAGAAAAAATTAATATTGTCAAAATGGCCACCCCACCCAAGGAAATTTACAGATTCAATGCAATCCCTATCAAAATTATTCAATGAGCTAAAACAAATGGTTCTAAAATTCATATGGAACCACAAAAGACTCCAAATAGCCAAAGAAATCCTGAGAAAGAAGAACAAAGCTGGGGGAATTATGCTCCTTAACCTAAAGCCATACTACAAAGCTACAGTAATCCAATTTGGTACTGGCACAAGCACAGACCTGTTGATCAGTGGAACAGAATAGAGAGCCCAGATATAAACCCACCCATCTATGGTCAATTGACATATGATAAAAGAGCCATGAATAGGAAGTAACAGCCTCTTCAACAACTGGTATTGGCAAAACTGGACAGCTACATGAAAGAGAATGAAACTAGATTGCTGTCTATCTCCATAGGCAAAAGTAAACTCAAAATGAATCAGACCTGAATGTAAGTCATGAAACTATAAAACTCTTAGAAGAAAACAAAGGCAAAAATCTCTTGAATATAAACATGAGCAACTTTTTCCTGAACATATCTCTTTGGGCAAGGGAAACAAAATAAAAAATGAACAAGTGGGACTACATCAAACTAAAAGGCTTCTGTACAGCAAAGGACACTAATCAGCAGAACAAAAAGGCATCCTACAGTTTGGGAGAATATATATGTAAACAACTCATCTGATAAGGCGTTAACATCCAAAATATATAAAGAACTCATACACTTCAACACCCTAAAAGCAAAATAACCCGATCAAGAAATGGGCAGAGGACCTGAACAGACACTTCTCCAAAGAAGAAATACACATGGCCAACAGGCACATGAAAAGACACTCCACATTGCTAATCCTCAGGGAAATGCAAATTAAAACCACAATGAGATATCACGTCACACCAGTTAGGAAGGCCACTATCCAAAAGACAAGAAATAACAAATTCTGGTGAGGATGTGGAGAAATGAGAACCCTCCTACACTGTTGGTGGGACTGAAAATTGGTACGACTGCTGTGGAAAGCAGTATGGAGGTTCCTCAAAAAACTAAAAATAGAAATACCATTTGACCCAGGAATTCCACTCCTAGGAATTTATCTGAAGAAAATAAAATCCCTGATTTGAAAAGATATATGCACCACTATGTTTATCGCCACACTGTTTGCAATAGCCAAGATGTGGAAGCAACCTAAGTGTCCATCAGCAGATGAATGGGTAAAGAAGAGGTGGTACCTATACACAATGGAATATTATTCAGCCATAAGAAGAAAACAAATCCTACCATTTGCAACAACATGGATGGAGCTAGAGGGTATTATGCTCAGTGAAATAAGCCAGGGGGGAAAGACAAGTACCAAATGATTTCACTCATTGTGGAGTATAACTACAAAGCAAAACTGAAGGAACAAAACAGCAGCAGACTC